GCTTGTTTATCTTCAAGCCTTTAAGACCCCAAACGCTCTATCTTTTGATAGCCAGGTATCATCAGCTTTCTTCACCACATTTGCTTATGCACACATCTTCAGTGATCATATAGGGAAGGTGGGCACCCACTGATTTTTTTTTGATGTCTGATACTGACTTTTATTTTTCAAAGGGAAACAACTTTAATGGGTCCAGAGATCAAATAAGGTACTATATATACTCGTGGATAAGCTGAGTTTTTTAAGCACATTTTTAATGCAGTTTTTGTGGTGAGATTAGGTGCCCTGGCTGATATTTAGGTCGACTTATACTTGAGTATATATAGGGTATTATATTTTTAACCTAACTACATCTACCATAATCCAGTTTACATCGTTCTCTGATAACAAGGTTATTCACATCCCTTATCATCAGAGAGGGCTCACTGTAGGCTTAATCTGTGTGTGGATTTGGGGCTTCCACTCTCATCCCTAGCCTTCTGCAAACTGGGTGTTTATAATTTAAGCTGTGATACTATTCCCCCTTTCAGATTTGGATTTTATTATTTACAGTCCTTGGATCACACAAGCTAGTATGCTTGTGGACTTAGTTAACGCCACTTCATTTGTCTTGTTTTTTATCCTATTAGTTGTGGTCTCATAAAATATTTGTCCTTTTGTGATTGGCTACCTTTATTCAGCATAATGTCCAGGTTCATCCATATTATGAGGTGTTTTATAGTTTCATCATCGCTTTTAAATGGTGCATAATATTACATTGTGTATGTACCAAAGGTGTGTAGTGGTTACATATTGGACGGTGATCCACATGGTCAGCAGTTTAAAGCCACCAGCAACTCCACGGGAGAAAGACTGGATTTTCTACTCCTGTTCCAGTTACAGTCTCGGAAACCAGCAAGGGCTGCTTGTGAGTCAGCGTTGACTGGACAGCAGTTAGTTGAGTTTATTCAGTACCTGAGCTGAGAGAGACCCCGCCCTGCAAGATCCCCTTTGCCTCCCCCCACCCCTTTCTCCATAAACCGTTCCATCAGTTATTTGTCTGTATGCATCCACTCCTATGCTTCATAAACTTGGAAACCTAATGGAAACAATAAAAACAAAACAGAAAGAAGAAATAATATACATATAAAAATAAACAGTAAGAAAGAAAAGACCACCAACAATGTTTTAAAAACCAGAGAATGAGAAATATTTGATCCTAGAGAAAATTTCAGGGTCAACTGACCGAGTATCATATTATACCATAGTTTGATCCACCGTAATCAAGTTTACAATACTCTTTGTCTTAAAGTAAAGCTGTTCGAATCCTTCACCTGTGGCTAGAGGGAATCTGCCAGAGGCGTACTCTGACCAAATACTCTGGGTGTTCATAATTTAAGCTCTGATACTTTCCCCTCCATCATACTTGGATTGTGTTACCGCCCTCTTTGGGTCACAGAAGATACAGCATTTTTTTTTTCCCCCCTGAAACAATTTCCTTAGTACCCCAGGTTTCATGCCACTCTCTGGAAAGGCAGTTTCCAAAATTTCTCTGAGAAATACAGTATCATTGGGACTATTTTTTAACTTGCAACTTGCATATTGGAAATGGGTACCTTTCATACACGAACTTGGTTGATAGTTAAAACATCGTGAATCAAAGTATTAAAAATTGCATTCTGTAAGTCCTTTTGCGAGGACTTAATGTGTGTGTGGGGTGGTGGGGGTGGGGTGTCTGGGGGCGGTAGTCCTGCTGCCATTCAGTGGATTCCAAGCTACAAATTATTTAGAGCTGCACGACTTTCTTCCAAGGAGGTAGGTTTGAGCAGACTACCTAGCAGTTAGCAGTTCAACATTTTCTGACACCAAGACTCCGGGGGAGGGGGCGTAGAGGTGTAGCAAGACAGAAACTAAGCACTCACTGCCACCTTCCGTAAGAACAAAATAGCGACTCGTTGGGCGAGGCACAGCGTCGAGACTGCGGCGGAGTCGGCTGAACTCTGCGCTCGATCCCGACCTTGACAGGCCACCTTCACCGAGATCCTCTCTCGACTGGGCGGGGGCCCCCGCGGCTCTCGGTGAAACCCAAACCTTTCCGACTACGGAATGGTTTGGCCAGAGAGGCCAGACGTTTTGGAATCCCACGCCGGACGCACCCAGCAACCAGGCAGTGTATTGTACTTGACCCTGGGGCCACTCCGTCGTCTAAACGTGGCGCGATGGACTCAGCCCCGTCCTCCGTAGCGGGAGTGGCTGTCCTTCAGGGAGGATGTGCGTAACTGCCCTCCGACAGCGATCTCGTTCCCCGAGCATCCAGTGTGAGGGCACTCTCGGTCTTGCGCAGTCGCTGCCGGGATGGAAAGGGCAGGCCCTGGCGCGGCTGCACTACGGTACCGAGCGGGAACGCCTGAGACCATCGCGTGGTCTGGACGAGTTTCGAGGTGTGCGTGCCCTTAACAAACATGGCGCAGGAACGTGTCAATCTGGCGGGGTCACGTGTGCACAACCTGGCGGCCGGTACGGCTTCAAGCGGCAAGCGGATCTTGTTAGCATTCACTTCCGGGGGAGACAGGCCGGGCGCCATCTTGCCTTGTTCGAGAAGAAGTACAGGCATCGAACGGATTGGAGGCGGTATTGTAGGAACGGTGGCAACAACCGTGTTCCGTGACGGGAGTGGGTAAGTGATGGGAAGCAATTGCGCGTGGGTCTCCGCCAGGCCATGACAGCCGCCTCTGGATTCAGTGAAGGTGCCTCAACTTAACACTCGGACGATGGGGGCGCTCCCTTGGGGCGACCGCCCGAACCTCCGTCCCTTGAAGCGGAGGCGTCCGCCTGCCTGGGCGGCTCGGAGCGGCGCGCTCGCTATCAAGGGAAAGCGCCGGGAGCGAGCGCTCGTAGCCCCCTTTCCCAACGACGCGGACGGGAAGGTGCTCATTGTCGGGCTCCGGGCCGGCCGTTAGGCACTGCGCGTGCGTCGTGAGCACCCTTTTATGGGGAGGGGATGGAGCGGGGATGCGGGAGGCCTTGCTCCCACCCCCACCTTGGGCCGCTTCCCCGTGCGGCGCGCACTGCGCAGGCGCGTCTAGGAAAGCCACGCCTTGTCGACTCTCATCAGGTTCCTTAGCTTGTTTTTCTTGTGTTTATTTTCGATGGTGTACAAAAGGCATTTCGTTTTTAGTTGTATTATCTTCTGGTAACTGACCACCGTGGGCACTCTGCCGATTTTTTAAATTGTCATTTGGTAACTCTTATAAAAGTTCGTTAGAATTAACATTGTAGTTAAAACTCAGAATCCCTTAAAGATAAACACCAAGAAATAAAAACAAGTTTCTCTTTAAAAAAAAATCAGAATCCCTCTTTAATCTCATCTCTCATTCCAACGAAAACGAAATCAAGTTAGGATGTATCATTTGAGTGCTGCAAGGCAAAAGCAAAGCTATAGGAAATTAACAGTAATTTAGTTCTTTTAAGATCTTCTTGAGAAAGTCTACATTTTAAAAACATTAATGAATTTTAAATTTTACAATTAAACTAAGCAGGTAGTGCAGAACGTTCTTATAGTTAGCTTATCACACATTTCTACCGAATAGTAACAAGTTACATTAACATGGTAGGTATGGTACATTTATTAACCGAGTAAGGCATTACAATGAAATATGCAAAGACCTGTAGTTAGAAGACTCGAAGAACATGTTCGGCATTTTTCAAGCTGAAATCACTGGATGGAAAAATAGAAGCCTTGAGTTGCAATATTGAAGGTTTCTATGGGCACAATGGTGTGTGGGTGGTGCAGTGGTTAAAGTATATAACTGATAACCCAAAGATAATGGTTCAAACCCAAGGGAGAAATGTGGTAATTGCTCCCACAAAGATTTGTAGTCTTGGGAACACTGTGGACCAGTTCTATTCTGCCCTATACAATCCCTATGAATTGGAATCAACATGGTGCAGTGGATTTTATGGACACAATATTAAGTCACCAGAAAGCATAAAAAGATGAATGATTGTTCTTAACTTTGCTTTTCCATTAATGTGATGGCTTTGGTGATCCGGATACAAGCCATAATAATTGATCTTTCGGTTCTTTTCAAAACCGAATTGTTCTCCAGGGAAATCATTTCATAAAAGGAGGTATTCTTGGGAAAGCTTATCACCTGGCTCATCATAATCAGTTTCTCCAAACTTGAGAAGTTAAGACTAAGGGTCTTCGGGCTAAAAAGAAGCCCCAATAAATTTGAATAAATATTTGGTGTCAGAATTAATCGTCGCAATTACAATGTTTGAAGATTACTGTATTTATTTGCTTATGTTTCAGTGGGTTAATAAAAAGGTTTTTACCACTCAATGTATGAAAAGCACGATGGTGAATTCAGAAAACGATAAGGTATTTCTCTGCCTCAAGAAGATATTTATTTGTGCCACGACAAAACACCTGAGAATTCACTCTAGCCCCATACATAAATATACATGCAGAGGTGTTTCAAAAAGCTCATGGGAAAAATCATTATATGGCAGTGAAATTTTTCCACGAACTATATATATTCATCATCTTTAACCTGTCACCATTTTCAAAATATGCAAAAGTAGAATAGTGCAGAGACTAGTGTACTAATAACTCATCTTCAATAATTAGCAATATTTTCCACATTTTAAAAACTGTGTAAAGAGTACTTTAAATGGTGTGGTATTTCACTGAACAATAATGAAATTAAGGTATATCATTTGATTACTACCTGGTGTGACTTTATATTAGTTTTCCAGATTTTGTATTTGTGAACAGTAGAGGTGAAGAATGGAGGGTTTTTTTTCCTATCTAATTTTTTATGGATTTATTAAAGCTTGCCAAATGAGCATAAACAAAGGGTTTGGATATTTCTTCAATGATTTAATGTTTTTTTAGTCTACTTTGCATGTTATATAAAAATATTTTTATTAAGAAGTATATAAAAGTGATGGGATGGTGGGGTTAGTTACTCATTTGGAATGATCCAACTTTGTTCATTTATGTAATTTACACATATCCAATTTCAGGAAGATTATTTACTTAATTAACAAATATCCTACTCATGAAGTATTATTCCTTCTGAAACAAAAGAGGGTAGTGCCCCAAAGCATGTTCATCTTCTACAGTTTTGCAGGTGTTGCAGGTGGAATGTTTGATCGTGTAAAGCAGTTTATCTACTCTTTCAACCATCAATAATTTAAAACATAAGTTTTAAAGTCATAGATTCTTCCCACAATAGCATCATTAACTATTTTTATAGCCTTATCTGTTTATAAATTATTTTTCCCTTTTAAAAAAAAATCTTTTTATTGGGGGCTTGTACAACTCTTAATCACAATCCATACACATACATCCTTTGTGTCAAACATATTTGTACATTTGTTGCCATCATTCTCAAAACATTTGCTTTCTACTTGAGCCCTTGGTATCAGCTCCTTATTTTTTCCTCCCCCTCTGTCATGAACCCTTGATAATTTGTAAATTATTATTTTGTCATGTCTGACACTGTGTGATGTCTCCCTTCCTCCACTTTTCTGTGGTCCGTCTCCTCCCCCCTTGTAATCTGTTCCCCCTTTCTATCCTACCTTCCCTCCACCCTCCCGGTAAGAATAGAGTTTCTAATCGTTACCTTTTGATTACTTACACTTCTGTTCCCTGAATTGTAAAAAAACTGTTGGGTATATACAAAGATTTATATTAAACCTTTGAGTAATCGTAGTATTATACCCAGTTTTCCCTAAAATCTGACCCATTTTAACAAAATGTATACCATGCTCTAAATTGGTTTCTTTACTTTGTGCTAGGATCTATACTTTTACCTAAAAAAAAAAAAAAAAAGAGATAATTTAAAAAGCATAGAAAGATGTAAAATAAAACATCAGAATTCTTCCAGTTCTACCTTTTTGCTCCCTATGATTTACCAATTTTTAAGTATATATATTTTTGAATTTTGTATACAAAAATTCATTCTTAAAAGAAAGTCTAAAATGTATCGTTGTGTAATGTAATGTCTTTCACTTAATTATATAGTTTGTATATTAACACACATCACTGATAGCCCTTATTAGTGACTGAATTGTCGTCCGTGGGTGGTGCCACATTGAAGAGAGCAACTGCCGGCCCCAGGGGGTCTGTTCAGACCCACTCAGGCACCTTGGAGGACAGTTGTCGTCCGCACAAAAAGGGCTTGCTATGACCTGGAATTGATTCGATGGCAACTAACTCTCTAAGTGGTTCACTCACTGGATGGTAATTCACTTATTTAATTGCTTTCTCGTTAATTATAAACCTATTGCACAAAAGTGTTCAAGATTTTTCAGTTTTTATGGTGTCAGTGTAGTTACAAGTGGTTTAAGTCCCTGAAGTGTAATCACTGGATTTGAAGTGTGGTGCATTTTAAATTTGAATAAGATGCTGTAATGCTTTGTCTCCCCTGAGTTATACAGTACCTTCATCTCATGCTTATTCTCTTATAGCTAAATTCAACTCCAGCTTTAATTAAAAGCATTTAATTAACTAGTTCCAAACACTTTATTACTTAGACATTTACTGTCAAGTTCTTTGCTGCACTTTTATTCTGTATGTTTCTCAGTTATATGTCTTTTCTATATTTTTCTCCAGCTAAGTGCATTTGAATAGTGAACTTTAATACAGCTTCCATAAATATGTTCTCAATTAGTAAACCTTAGAATGTGGCTTTTTGTAAACAGACAGAAAAATGGCTAAAAATTGCCCAGGCTCATAGAACTACGAGGTGTATAGTTAGGAACCCCAAACAGAGCTTGTGCTCTGAAATCTGGCTAAAAAGTTGATTGGAAAACTTAAAGGAGAACTGAAAAAATTGTCAATGACAACCATTAAAACATGAATAAGAAGAGAAGTGTATATTCTGATTTCTGGTTAAGTAAATGAACATGTACTGAAAATGATGAAAATTGGTACACAATCATTTTCATTATTAAATGGTTTTACCCATTGCACATATATTTGTAACTCTAGCAGGCAATGGATAACACTTAACATTGTATAAATTTACAATCTGTATCAGAAAATTTTTGTATTGCTCTCAGCTGATATACCATACAAGTTTTGTAAAACATGGCAAGTGGTGTTTATTGAGCTTTTTGGTTCTCATAAATTTAAGCCAACAGCTTCCTTGTTAATTTAAAGCTAAAAAGAAAATAAGAAACTAGAGACCATTTACATATTCAGTATTTATTTAGTGTCTGCTACTTTTTTAAAAAAACATTTTATTAGGGGCTCATACAACTCATCACAATCCATACACACATCAATTGTGTAAAGCGCATTTGTACTTCATTCTCAAAATATTTTCTCTCCACTTAAACCCCCAGCATTAGGTCCTCATTTTTCCCCTCCCTCCCTGTTCCCCCCTCCCTCATGAGCCCTTGATAGTTTATAAATTGGTATTTTGTCATATCTTGCCCTGTCTGACGTCTCCCCTCACCCACTTTTCTGTTGTCCGTCCCCCAGGGAGGAGGTCACATATAGTCCCTTGTAATGGTTCCCTCCTTCCTACCCACTCTCCCTCCACCCTCCCTGTTTCGCTACTCACACTACTGGTCCTGTAGGGCTCATCCGCCCTGGATTCCCTGGATTTTCAGTTCCTATCTGTACCAGTGTACATCCTCTGGTCTAGCCAAACTTGCAAGGTAGAATTCTAGTCATGGTAGTGGGAGTGGGGAGGAAACATTTAGGAACTAGAGGAAAGTTGTATTTCTCATCGTTGTTATATCGCACCCTGACTGGCTCATCTAGCGTCTGCTATTTTCAAGATAAAAGGAGTCTCAGCGGCCCTGTGGGTGAAGTATTTGCCAGTTAGCACTGCTGGAGAAACCTGTGACCTTCTGCTTCTGTAAAGATTACGATTTTGGGAATTCTATGGGGGAGTTCTGCGCTGTCCTATAGGATTTCTGAGTTGGAATCAACTCTGGCAGTGGGTTTGGTATGTATGTGCAAGATGCTATCTTAAAACTTTGGGTAAATAAAAAGATGAATAAACATGAATAAACATCTATCAATTTTTGAAGTTGTTGATACAATGAGAAGTAAACCATTTTACAGACTAACGAACCATTCTTACTGATGTTCATTTTTATACATAGAAAAATCTGAAAGGATATATTGGAAGAAACACGTTAAAAGTTTTGCCTTCTCATTTCAGTTGTATCTCTTTAACCTTATAATAGTAAAGTGATTTCCATTATAGAATTGAAGAATGGGAAAAAAATTCCACCTGAGTTTGAAATGGTTATACTTACACATTACATCTTTAGAACTTATTTTTATTAACTTGAAGAAATAATTCATAATCTTAAGGCAAACTATTCTTTTCCCTCTCTTAGATTATAAATAACCCTGCTGCTATGCTTCCAAGCTGTGTTCTGAGTCAACTTAAGTTTTAAACACGGTGAGCTTCTGAGGTCAGTTAAAATACATAGTGCTTGATAGTTCTTCTGAGTGTTTCCTCTACTTTTTAAACTTCTGCTTTTTTTAAGTTGTAAATTAAGCTGCTTCTTAAAGGCTATGGTAACGCATTTAGCTTTAAAGGCATTAAAAGGTATAGATGGAAAAAGAAGGGGGAAATGGAGGAGAAGAAAAAACTGGAGAGAATTTAAAAATAGTTCCATTTAACTTGGAACTGGTAGTTGGCCTCAAGTGGTACTATTTGGTGCCCGTCTTTGCCATATTTTATTAATTTTTAAAAAAAGATTTTATTGGGGGCTCTTACAGCACTTAAAACAATCCATACATCTGTTGTATCAAGAATATTTGTACATATGTTGCCATTATTTTCTAAACCTTTACTTTCTGTTTGAGCTGTTTGTATCAGCTCATCTTTGCCATATTTTACAATATAGTCTATAGCATAATATCTGTATTATAGAAGATATACATTTGACTAATTAGTCTGGGTAACAAAATAATATATCATAATAAAGTGTTTTCAAACTGAGAGATCAGGATCTGCCACTGATAGAACTATAAACCATTCTAAAAATACTACCAAGACTGAAATTTGAAAATTTCAACTTGAAAAGTGTGAATTGAATTAGCTAGCTGTCATATTTGACTTTATGTCCCTTACCCTCTTGTTTGCTAGTTTGTGATTCTTCAATAATAAGGTTTGCTTTTGTTTTTAAAAGGAGCCCTAGTGGTGAAGTGGGCTACATGTTGGGCTTTTAACTGCAAGGTCAGCAGTTTGAAACCACCAGCCCCTGCGAGGGAGAAAGATGAGGCTTTCTACTTCCGTAGAGATTTAATTTTGAAAACCCATAAGGGGCAGTTCTACCCTGTCCTATAGGGTTGCTATGAGTCAGAATTGAATCCCTGGAAGTGAGGTTTTTTATTTTTATTTTTGGGGGTGATCAGTGTGTGTTAAAATAGGGGAAGCTATAGAATATGGGGAAAGATTCATTTTGTAAATGTTTCTTTGTCTATTATGTGCTGAGGCCTCGGTTATAAAAATAAAGAAACTTACCGTCTTACTTGTATGTGCCATTGATTCTTAAACAACATTGTGGCGTGAAGTACAAAGATACTAGACTTGTAGGAAAGTTTTCATTAGTTTACAGAGAAATAGTTTGCTGAAGCTTCTCACTTCCCCACTTAGATTTTATAGTTCTTAGTAAGGTTCTTTCCTCCCTTTACCTGTTAAGAAATCTGGTGTTGGAGACTACCTTACTTTATGTCTTTGTCTGGTTGTTCCTCTATCCCCTGTAATTACTTTTTACTAGAAATGAGATCCAAAAGCTCATTTGGATTCCATTACAGGTTTTCAGTAACAACATAATGATACCGAATATTGTGTACTGTGTGGCTATTAAATATAGGTAATATGTGGTGATAATGTTTTGGTAACCTAGAATTTCTGATTTCTTGTCAAGTTTTCTTCTGAGATTGAATGAGTCAATTATTTTATTAGGCATGGGAATATGGCAGTTTTCTAATTCTATGTTTATCTTATTCATTCATTAGTTGTAATTCTTTATAAGGAGGAGCTGTTAACAATTAGAGCTATTCCATTACTTTCTTAAAGTGTCTTGGGATAAATATTTTTATCATCACATCAATTTTGTTAGATTTCACAAAATTTGGGAAAATTGAATTCTTTTTAAAACCTTTATGAGCTAAGTTGATTAGACCTGTGCTTGCAACCAGCAGACTGGCCACCAGTGACAGGAAGTTTTCTACTCTTGCTTGGCAATCTAATAATTCCAGCTACCTCTGCTCATTGCTCAGGATTTTAGTGCTCTGATCATATAAGTGTATCATCATATACTCTCAGACATGTTTTAAAATTAAAGAATCCTCCTCCTGAAATTTAAACTCTGTTCAATTTTTTGAAGGTAGAAAGTAGAGTGTATTGAAAGACTCAAGATGTGGGATCAAGGAGGACAGCCATGGCAGCAGTGGCCCTTGAACCAGCAGCAGTGGATGCAGTCCTTCCAGCACCAGCAGGATCCAAGTAAGGACACCAATTAAATACTGGCGTTGGGGGTTATAGGGAAGTCGGAGGGGGTGGGGGATAGATGAGGAGATTAGCTGAGCTGGAATTGGACTTGGGTTAAATGGAAGAAAAAACTGAAGATTTACAGCCCTGGCAACTATCAGGAAATTCTACTGTGTCCTGTAGGTTTGAGTCAGAATTCACTGGATGGCAATGGGTTTGGGTTTTGTTTTGTTTTTACTGGATTGTTTATTTTGTGGCCAGACTTTGGTCTTTTTTCAAATAGTCTTGCCATAGGATATATAGTAGGAAATCGATTTCTCCTGGAAGACTTCTACACAAGGCAGAAGATTTTCTGGGGGGAAAAAAAATTTTTTTTTAACTTGGCTCTTATTTATCTAAAGAAATAGGAAAAACTTTCTAACATGTTGCTTCATTTTCTTGCCTTTGTAAGTAAAGCTTACTTTCCATTGTTCTGAATCTTCCAGTGATTCACACTTTAGTTCTATATAGATCATACTCAAATGTGTAGTGTACTATATCATTTAAAAGTTTCTTTTTATTATGGAGTATTTCAATCATATACAAAGGTAGAAGAGTATAGGGAGCCATTTATTACATTGTATTTAGCAGTTATTAACTCGTTGCTAATCTTTCCATATATACTTCAGTATAAGCTGACTCGAATAGCAGCCGAGGCATCTAATTTTACCACAAAAACTGCATTAAAAATGTTTTGGAAAACTCGGCTTATACACGATTATATACGGTATTTAATATATATCACCTCCTACCCTGCTTTTCCTTCAACGTGGTTAATCTGGTATAACTTTTTAAAATAGCTGTGTGGTATTGTGTTGTAGAGTATACTGATTTTTGTAAAAATTGTTATTGTTGAGAGTGTATATAGCACAGCCAAAGACCCACCAGTTCAATTTCTACTGTGCCATTCAGTGACATTGACTACATTCTTTTTGTGTGCAACCATTGTCATCCTCCTTTTTCAGTTGCTCTTTCCCCATTAACATAAAATCACTGCCCCTTAAATTTCCTATCTAATCTTTCAAGTTGTCAATTTTTAAAAGAGCATAATCCTCGTCAGAAATTTTTTAGTAGGTAAGCTAAACTGTTGTTTGGTTTTAAGCAAACTTCAAGTAATATTTTTGTTTAAGGTTAAAGATTCTCTATGGACAATAGTTTCTGGGGTTCATCCAGCCTCCATGAGTTTTAAATTCTTTCCTGTATTTTTCCCCCTTTTGTTCAAGATTCTTCAATGGACTGTGACCCTAGTATTAGGCATCATCCAGTTTTTCTAGTTTCATGGAAAATGAAGCACTTGGTCTTGGAGGAAGTTAGCCACACTAGAACGTACTGGAATTTAAAAAATTCGATTTTGGATATTTGAATGTTTATAGCATTTTACTTTGTGGGGCAATTAGCACAGTGTTGTGTTATATCCTTTCCAGTTGTTTCTCCAGGAAGAAATCCAAGAACTGGATTTGCTAAGTTACAGTTACATATCTGAAAAAGTATTTAGTACACATTTCCAAGTTAACTCCATGTGGGTTATGTCAATCTATCCCAGTAAGTGTATGGAAATCTGTAGAAATTACTAAAATGAAAGGTGAAAAATCATATCTTACTTCACTTTGTATTTCCCTTATAAAAAGAATGTAAAAAAATAAGTGTATATATTAGATCTCTAATAAGGAATATTAGAGATGTTTGGCATGGAGGCTATATTGGATAGTGGCACAATCTTTTAGCTCCTCAGTCTGAATGCTAACTTTTACTCAGACTGCCTGAGTGTTAACTTTACTGTGTTTATTTTTATTAGGCCAGATAGACTGGGCTGCCTTGGCTCAAGCTTGGATTGCCCAAAGAGAAGCTTCAGGACAGCAAAGTATGGTAGAACAACCACCGGGAATGATGCCAAATGGACAAGATATGCCGACAATGGAATCAGGTCCAAATAATCATGGGAATTTTCAAGGCGATTCAAACTTTAACAGAATGTGGCAACCAGGTTTGTTGTTCGTTTTCCAATTATTAGAACTTTTGTTTTTAAAAAAATAAAGATCGAAATGAAATTATTTCATTTGTAATTACATTGTCTAATTTGCTTAGTTTTATGACTTCTTGAAATTAATGTATTTAAAGAATAGTTTGAATTTGATTTGACCTTGACATCAAAATTACTGTGTTCTCAGTCTCCTAGCATTGTGGCACTCAGTTTGATTCTTTTCTAGGTTCTTCATTCCTAGGCTGACAGGGACTGGGAACACTGGAAACCTCACTTGACATCTAGGGAGGAGAGTATTCTATGCCTCCCTTTCAACCTCTGCCCTTTCAGAAGCAGCACTGGCAGAGCAAACCACGTCTGGTCTCTCATTAAAGAAAAACTGTGTCACTCTGTGACAATCTGTCAAATATGCTCTGCTCTGCCCTACCATCCACTTCCCCGTTTCTTCCCTCTTTTTCAGATAGTGAAGATCTTCTCTATCTCTGGTTTTAATTTCTTGTTTACTTTTATCATTCACAATATGATTTTGATTCCTTGATGCTAGTTCAATTCCAATAGCTGTGTTATTAATTTTAGTAGTCACTTCAAATTATTTGTAGAGAAATCCCAGTTAGGTATGTTGATGTGGTGGAGTCATATCCCCTTCTCTATAATAATACTTTATTATTTTTAGTTCTTAATGTAAGAATGAAAGTGCAGGATATTACCCTCTAATACCACTTTTAAACACTAATGAATATTCTGATTTTATATATTGTTAAGTGGTTTGTTTCTAGTGTTCTTGAAGCTATGCCACATTTCCCCAAGTTTGAAAATTTTTGTTTTCCAAGTTCAAGCTTATAAATGACTCACCATGGCATTTACCACTCCCCAATTTTAGTAGGCTGAATTTCTCTGTGACCCTGGGAAAACAATTTACTTCTCTGTGCTTTAATTTTCCCTTCTGAAATTGGCAAAAAGAATACCTACTTTTTTCTCTCCCTCACAGGGATGTTGTGAGGATACATGTATTAATGGAAGAAATGATACAAAAACTCAAGCTACTATTTTTTATGGTGATGTTATTGAACAATAAAATTCAACCAAAAATTGCTCTTGGTTTTGTTACTTTCATTAGAAATAATTAAGGCCATCTGGTTTCCATTTGTTCAGGGTATGAATTAGAGTAAATGAAGTTAGCTCATTTGAATTATTCATAAGATAGTTTAATTCATTGCTTATTCTTATGATATGCAGAAGAAATTTGACCAAGAAGTCATAAATACCTTATCTGTTTCTTTACTGAAAAATCTAGCTTTCTTGAAATCTTAAGAAACTGTGTTGATTTTGTTGTAACCCCCTGTTGAATGTGTTTATACTTGAATCCTAAATAGAATGGGGACTGCACCAGCAACCCCCACATCCCCCTCCAGAACAGCCTTGGATGCCACCAACACCAGGCCCAATGGAAATTGTCCCTCCTTCTGAAGACAGCAACAGTCAGGACAGTGGAGAATTTGCCCCTGATAACAGGCATATATTTAACCAGAACAATCACAACTTTGGTGGACCACCTGATAATTTTGCAGTGGGGCCAGTGAACCAGTTTGACTATCAGGTGAAAGATATCTTGTTGCTTTAATATTGTAGATGTGTACATATTCCATTTTTCAACATAATCTCATCAGGAGTACCAAAAGTGTGTTTCACTTTTCAGGCTTGTATAGTTAAGCCCATTTTATGTCTTAGAAAATTGACCAGTTTTTGAGTGTTAAAACTTTAGTCGTTTTGGTTTTGGGCTTATTTTTTATTTACTTAGGAACATAATGAAGCATCTTTAGGGGGTAAAAAGGAGAGAAAGTGAAAGTGCAGTAACTATATGATTTTTACGTTTCTTATATTTCTGAATGTCTTTAATTTTTTTTTTTTTTTCAAAAAGGACTCAGTGAACTTGGTTCCATTTGTCTAGGACAGAAGGCTTTTTGAGTAGCCAGCCCTGTCTCCATGAGGTACCTAGTCATCATCACCATGATTGTCATTTTAAAATATTAAATACATTTTAGAAAATGCACAGTAGTTGATTACATTCTTTTTCAATAATATATTGTAGTTCAAGATCAGTAGTTTGAAACCAGCATAGGAGGAAGAGTAAGACTTTATACTCCTGAAAAATAGATAACAGTTTCAAAAACCCACGGGCAGTTCTGTTCTGTCCTATAGCATCACTATGAGTTAAAACTGACATGATGGCAGTGAATCGAATGCTGAAACAGTTTAATACTAGGTCTGAGTTCCTAGAAACCTCAGTGCAAACATACTTATCTGAGTCTAACCCCGTTCTATCTATAAAGTCTAGAACAGGATGCAAACTCAAGGTATGTGTTTGCATGAAGCAGACAGAATTTCATACAGACATTGGTGTGGTTACAAATCACTGAGGCTGTAGAAGAGCTGCCGTTATTATGTCAATGTCATACCACCTCGGTTGTGATAAAAATCAAAACAAAAGACTTCTACTAACCCTGCTAACTTTAAAGCCGCTTCCTCTCTGTGAAGCTGATAATTAGAAGGTAGCGCCTACCTGGAACCTTGAGTGCAAAGGAATCTGGGAAATGTAGTCTACACCCTTATAGTGCCTCCATTAAAAATAAAAACCAACCAACCAAAGAGTTGTTGGTGAGAATTCAAATTCATAGCAATCCCAGACACATGGAACCAAAAGTTGTGTCAGAGTGGAACTGTTCTCCATCGTTTTCAGTGCATGAGTTTTCAGGAGAGTGCCAAGGATTTCTTCGGAGGCACCTCCTTGCCTTCACCAGGTGTAGACTTACCATTTTGTATCTCTCTATACTGGTGGGAAGTGTTTTGGTTTTTGACCGGACACTGCCTTACATCAGTTCTGTCTTTCACAGATTACTATAAGAAAGAAAATAGACATGAATGCATAAAGAGGATTATGATAATTCATCTAAAAATTAAATATAATATATATATAGTGGCTATGGTTTACATAAATACATTAGAAACATAGACCATCTATTAAGTGCAGTTCTTTGTGTGCACCAAAGAATTATGACAGTCTTTCTAATGTATTACTATCATTAGACATGCTAACGAGGTTTTTAATTTTGTTTGTAGTATCCAGATCATTTTAGGGACATAGAATCCTGGGGAATAGTGTCATGTACTCACTATTTTTTTTATACTTGCTTTACCATACTCTCCGCTTAAAGTTCTAGCTGTCATTTTTTGAAATACCGTATATACTCGAGTAAAAGCCAGGTTTTTCAGCACATTTTTAATGCAGTTTTTGTGGTAAAATTAGGTGCTTCAGTTGATATTTGGGTCAGCTTATACTCAAGTTATTGCAATCGCTTTATAATCTTAGCTATCATAATTACAAATTTAGGAGAATACTCCTACCATACATTATTTTACTAATTGAATAATGAATTTATAATAGATATAAATATAAACACTATTCACCTTAAATTCTCATTCATAAATGTTTAACTTGCTAAATGCTCAATAAGTATACATACAGTTAAGACAGGTTTTTTTTGTTTGTTTGTTTGGTTTCTGAAGAGTATAGTAGGAGGGAGTTTCTATTTAATACCACATTGGCATGGCAGAGTTCTCTTGAGCACTGCCACAGAAAAAAACACTTAAAATGGCAGAATTGCAGCAATAAAAATCCAGAAACTTCTGTGTTTTTGTGTATAAATTAGATATTTCTTGTATGATTACGGAAGCTATTTAAATTCACTAAAAGTAGGAAGTTGGAATTGATTTGTAAAATTTCCAGCATTTTCTAGTATTTTTAAAAATTGGCTTATATTTCATGTTTTGCTTGTAGGATTAGTTCATAAATGGATTCAGAATGAAAAGGCACGTGTGTGTGCATGTATGTCTATATCCTTTTTTTGTATTTTGGGAAAATAATACTATTAGGTGAATTTCAGAATGCACTGTGCATTTACAAGGGCAAAAAAAGTTTTTAACTTCCTTAGGAAAAGTAGCTAAATTCTTGGGGCTATAGAAATATTGATGGATATTATGATATGGAATTCTTGGATTTCCTGCTCACATGGATTTCTACTGCCCCAGTTCATAACACACGTGTGTCCCAGAGAATATATATTGTATTAATGTGAAGAAAAATAAACTGCAATACTCTTTCAGCATGGGGCTGCTTTTGGTCCACCGCAAGGTGGATTTCATCCTCCTTATTGGCAACCAGGACCTCCAGGACCGCCAGCACCTCCCCAGAATCGAAGAGAAAGACCCTCATCATTCAGGGATCGGCAGCGTTCTCCTATCGCACTTCCTGTGAAGCAAGAACCCCCACCAATTGGTAGCTACTTAACTAAGTTTAGTTACTGCATTGCATGATTTCTTTTTTTTAAAAATCATTTTATTAGGGGCTCATACAGCTCTTATCACATTCCATACATACATCAATTGTGTAAAGCGCATTTGTACATTCATTGCCCTCATTCTCAAAACATTTCCTCTCCACTTAGGCCCTTGGCATCAGCTCCTCATTTTTGCATTGCATGATTTCTTGATCATGTAAAAGAGATTTCCTCTGTTTTTTTAAATTGTTCTCATGCTTCTGATGTGTTATGAATAGGTACTTTAAGATACTCATTTTAGCCATAAAACCTTAAGAAATATTAAAACAAATGCTGGTCTAAAAATAGAAATTTATGGTCATCATAGCATCTTGATTTTTTTAACTTTGACAGTTTGAAACATTGAGCCAATATATGAACACACACCATGCCTCTTTTTAAGTTTACTGAAAAATGTTTGTTCGAAATTTCCATTTACTGTGGAAAATAGATTTATGCTTTTGTTTGACTCTGTTCTGTTTGCATATTTTTAGGTAGAAGTGTTGAATAAGAACTTAGCCCTGAATTAATTCAGAAAACGACTTAATTGCTCTCTACTCCATGGCAAATAACTTAATCTCTTGAGCCTCAATTTCTTTACTTGCAAAAGGGATCAGATAATAGCTAGCCACCCCTAGGGCTCTTGTGAAAACTAAGAGTGATTAGGATTTAGTGTGCTGTAGTAGTATTTTGGGTCCCTGGTGACTTAGTGGTTATGTGTTAGCCTGCTAATTGCAAGGTCAGCAGTTTGAAACCTCCAGCCACTAGAAAGGAGAAAGATGAGGCTTTCTATTCCTATTAACAGTTACTTCGGAAACTCACCAGGGCAGTTAGTTCTACCCCATCCTCTAAGGTTGCTATGAGTCGGCATCGACTCAATGGAAATGAGTTTGATATTTTCTTGGGGCGTGCGGGGAGTAGTAGTGCTTTGCTTGTTATTAATATGGATGATTTTAAAGAACAGTGTACATTGCTTAATTGGTTGTTTTTATTACCTTGCTGGAGAATACCAGTATTTTCTACAAGGACTCAAATAGCACAAAATTTTTTTTCTCTCATTTACTCTAAACTGTTTCCTTTTTTAAAATTTATGAACAAGGAACTTAAGTTTTTGTATGATTTTAACTGGCTGGTAAAAAGGTTTGTCTGTGTGAAATAGATGCAGTGAAGCGCAGGACTCTTCCAGCTTGGATTCGTGAAGGGCTTGAAAAGATGGAACGGGAAAAGCAGAAGAAGTTGGAGAAAGAAAGAATGGAGCAACAGCGCTCACAATTGTCCAAAAAAGAAAAGAAGGCCACAGAAGATGCTGAAGGAGGAGCTGGCCCTCGTTTACCTCAAAGAAGTAAATTTGTGAGTAGCATCTCCCCAGCCTTGTGAGAATTTTGTCTAAAGAAAAAATTATTAGCTTTAGTCTAAAGAAAATTAAGTTGAGTTCCAGATTATGACTTTGAGTATGTTTATTGGGGATTATGTTTTTACGTTTATGTGCATGAAGGTAGGAAAAGCCCTGTAGTGGGTTATGCATTGGGCTGCAGGAGTTCGAAATTACTACCTGTTCTTTGTGAGTAAAGAGGTCTTGTGTAGCAGATTTACCCAGTGCAATGTGTCGTTTGATCTCTCTTTTTTTTTTATCAATTTATTGGAGCTCATACAATTCATCACAATACATAGATCAATTGTGTAAAGCACATCTATACATTTGTTGCCCTCATTATTCCCCGTTTGATCTCTTGACTGTTACTTTTGTGAGCATTGTTTGGGATCCAATGCACTTGCATGTCCATTGTTTTAACCATACATATACTCAATTGTAAATTATTATAAAATTTTATTAAATTAGGAATAATGCTTTTTCCGCAGGTATAGTCACACTTTTCTACATGCAATTTTTTTATTGTACACTAGCAAAACATTAACCAATTCAACAATTCTGCATGTATAATTCATTGACATTATGAAATTACCAAAAGATAATTTAGAGAGCAATTATAAAATGTAATGTAATTTAGAGAGCAATTATACTGTTATATTTCTACTTCACAAAGTTTTTTATTAAAGTAATGGTTTTATAAGCATGCATTTGGGCTTAGCCATTCTGTATATTTGGTTTTTTTTTATTAATCAATTTATTGGGGCTCATACAATTCATCACAATACATAGATCAATTCTGTAAAGCACATCTATACATTTGTTGCCCTCATCATTCCCAAAATTCTCTTGCCTCTTGGGTTCCCGGAATCTGCTCATTTTCCTTCCCCCCCCCCCCCCTGTATATTTGTTTTTAATCATTTTATTGGGGGCTCATACAATTCTCATCACAATCGATACATACATCCATTGTGTCAAGCACAGTTGTACATTTGTTGCCATCATCATTCTCAAAACATTTTCTTTCCATGTGAGCCCTTGATATCAGCTCCTCATTTTTTCTGCTCCCTTTCTGCCTCCCCGCTCCCTCACGAAGCCTTGGTAATTTTAATTTATAAATTATTCTTATTTTTTCCTGTCTTACACTGTCCGACGTCTCCCCCGTTCTATTGTTTTTAATAGGATAGTGATGAGGAAGATGAAGACAATGACAATGTTGAAGGTGTAAGCAGTGGAAAAGTCACGAGAAGTCCGTCTCCAGTCCCTCAAGAAGAGCAAAGTGAACCAGAGATGACAGAAGAAGAGAAAGAATATCAAATGGTAGAATACTAAATTTCTTACCCAGTTTAAGAAGATATTTTGTTTGTAGTGTTTTTAAACTGTTGTGTAGCTGGCTTACGCTGAGAATACATGATTATATCTATAAAATCTCCAAGTGTTTCGTGTTATTTGAAATAGAAATAATGATAAAGGTTAAGGAATTTAAACAAATTTCTTTTAGGATATACTAGGATGACCAAAATTGACTATACTTGTTTATTGCAAGACTTCTCAAAAATTTCTTATCTTTTTAAAAAATTGATTGTTTGGGAGTTAATACATGTATCATTCCATAGTTCAATCACATCAAACAGTATTGTACAATTGCTACCACAGTTTCAGAATCTCCTTTTCTCATTAAAATTTTCTGTAATGTACTATCATTTTCTTGAGATTGAGAATATAATATGCTGTATTCCTTATGTTGAAAAATTTGATGATCTTTCAAATGTTCATGGAAGATGCAGGATCGGTCTACTCTTATTTGAATAAATGCATAATCTGGAGCTCAGAGAGAATAAGAATAGTCCACAATCCAATCAGGTTTTGGTAGCCAAACCAAGCCCTACAATCCACTCCTGAATTCAAGTGAAGTATCCATATCGTACCATTCTAACTCTTCACAGTACAACTACCGTATATGTAACTGTTGGTTTGCTGTACTGTGGTGTCGTACATGTTTGTTGCAATACTGGAGGCTATTTTGCCAGTATTTCAAATACTACCAAGGTCACCCAGGGTGGATAGATTCCTGAAAATTTCCCAGAAAAAAAAAAAGACGTTTCCAGATTAAGCTAGACTAGGAAGAGAGCACCTACTATACTACTACTAAAAAAGTTGGCCAGTGAAAATCATCTGAATAGCAGTGGAACATAGTTGGATATCTTGCTGAAAAATGAGCCCTTCAATCAGAAAGCACTCAAAATATGACTGGGAAAGAGCAGCCTCTCAAAGTACAGCCGACCTTAATGATGTGGATGTAGCAAAGCTTTGGAGACTGTATCATTTGCTGATGGGTGTCACGCGCGAAGGTGACACACGACGAAACAAATCAGTTAGGATCCTTCTGATGGCGTTGTAAGCGAAGTTTATTGAAGCTGCCTCTTACTCCGAGGTCAGCTGCTGAAGACCCTGAGTTCCGCAAAACTCGGGCTTATATATGCTACTTGGTGACGGGGCATCCCCGGATAGGTGCAAAGCTCTCCTGCGTCATCATTGACGTTATGCGCATGCGTGATATTACTTGTTTACGAGCAGCCTCTGGCGGAAAGGGCGTGACCCGGCGCCATCTTGTAATGGCGACCAGAAATGGGCGTGGCCCGGCGCTATCTTGACATGGCGACCACAGATGGGGGACTACTCCAAATGACAGCTCTTCTGTGGGCAAATATTAATGATGCTGAAGCATCAGGAGATAGGAAGCAAGACTCCAAGAATCACTGTGCCAGAAATAATTGATCATTCAGTTTTAGAAGGTAGTATCTGATTATGAAACCACAGTATTGAAGGTAGTCCAAGCTGCACTGAAAGCATTGACAAAAATAAATGGGGCTTTGGGAATTGATAGAATACCAATTGAAATATGTTCACTGATTAATGAAGTTCTGGAAGTATTTACTCATCTGTCAAGAATTTGGAAGACAGCTACCTGGCCAACTGACTGGACTGTATTTATGGCCATTCTTAAGAAAGGTGACCCGGTGGGAGCGGGGAGGGGGTGGGAAATGAGGACCTAATGTCGGGGGTTTAAGTGGAGAGAAAATGTTTTGAGAATGATGTACAAATGCGCTTTACACAATTGATGTGTGTATGGATTGCGATAACAGTTGTATGAGCCCCTAATAAAATGTTTAATAAAAATAAAAAAAAAGAAAGGTGACCCAACGCAATGTGGAAATTACAATAGCATTAATATCTCATGCAAGTAAAATATTCCTGAAGGTAGTTAAAAATCGGCAGCAACAATACAACAAAATAAAACAGCTAGAAATTAAAGTTGGATTCCAAAGAGGACATGAAATGAGATTTATCATTGCTGATGTTAGGTGGCATCTTGGCTGAACAATAAAGAGTACCAGAAAGATGCTTACACTGGTGTTTTATTTATTATGCAAAGAAAGGCGTTTGTATCAAAACAAATGGATAACATTTGAAGAATGAGAATTCCAGAACACTTTGTGCTCCTGCAGAACCTGTAGTTAAACCAAGAGGCAATCTTTTGAGCAGAATAGGTGTTTAAAATATGGAAATCTTGTGTGTCAGGGTTGTGGTCCATTCACCGTACCTAATTTGTGTGCGTATTCATAGTGTTCTTGTTACGTGTCAGTGTTAGGTATTTGTGAACATTTTTTCAAAAGAAACTTACATTCTCAATGTTTTATCTCTAAAATTAGACTTTAGTGTCTACTAAATTGATAAATGTATGTTGTTCTTTTACTCCACAAGTTTTGATGTTTTAGAGTAATTTTCAAGATGTACCTCAGAATGACTGATCTGATCTCTTAAAGTTACTTATGTAATCCACCTTACTTTTTTAAATATTTAAAATATATAACTAGTAATTACATGGTAGTAATTTATAAAATAATCTTCTTTAGATGTTGCTGACAAAAATGCTTCTGACTGAAATTTTACTGGATGTGACGGATGAAGAAATATATTATGTAGCCAAAGACGCACACCGAAAAGCAACGAAAGGTATATTGTGGGTGCTCTTGGTATTGGTTTTGTGAGGGCATTCTGATTTTGATAGATATTTCGGACTTTTTTATTGCCCTTGCTGAATTACTATCTGGCATTTGAATATTCTCTTCTTGCATGTTTTAACTCTGGAAAAGGTTAAATTTGTAGACACCATATTAAAACTATACAAATATTTTTATTTCGCTTAACCTACTTGAGTATAAGTTAGCAATCATGCTGTTATCCTATAAAAACATATTGCGGAAAATATATGCTGTTCCATTTATTTCACCTGATTTTCTTATAGATAACGGTGGTATTGGTATATGACTTCTTATCTATTTTAACATGAGTTATGAATCTTCAGTTTTGTTTTCACTTTTTAACTAGTTATAGTCCTTACAGAAGCAGGCAATTACTCTTCTATGCTTTTAGTAATATAGTTAATAATATATTGAAAACAAAAGATAAATTATAGCCACCTCAGAAATAGAAATACAGATATACTTGTCAACATTTGTCCTCATTATAAACCAATTTCACCTCACATTAGAATGGTAATTTCAAAGCCAGACATGCTACTGGTTTTCAATGAATGTGATGTTTTTAATGTTTCTTGTCTCCCCAAAAAGCAGCAATAGTAGTAGATTTAACAATACCGTAGACTCACATGACTATGAAATCGTGGCTATTTGTGTTAACATGTTGTTCCTGTTGTTGATGTGATACAAAGCTCCTGCAAAACAGCTGGCACAGTCCAGTGCCCTGGCTTCCCTCACTGGACTTGGTAAGTGCTGTCCTTATTTCTGAGCGGGCCTTCAAGGGAAAAGCACAATTACCTTGTCTCTCTGCGTGTTCTGTTTTGAAATTATACTATTCCTATTTCGTTTATAAAGCCCAGGTTAGAAGTTTCTCAAAAGATTTGCCTTTTTTTCCCTCCTGACTAAAACATTCATAATGGGAATCTTGTAAATGTAATGCTTAATCCATAGTTTATTGGGGCAAGTTGTGGTTGCTCCAATATACGAGGGGGTACCCAAAAAAACCCGGAATTTTTTCCTAAAGCTATGTATTTAAATTTTTCTATAAAACAACCTTATCACTTTCTAAGTATTCTCCATTACACTTAATACATTTGTCAAATCTGCAATTCCATTCTTGGAAACATTTTTCAAACTCATCTATTTGGAATAGCTACAATACCTCCTTTGTATTTTTTCTTCACCTCTTCTACATCATCAAATTGCTGTCCTTTCTTGTCCCTCTTCATTCATGGAAACAAAAAGGTGAGTAATGTACGTGGGGGAAGAGTGGCATGCTGAATTTTGACAAAAACTGTTCACTGAGATGGCAGAGTGCGCGGGTGCATTGTCCTGGTGGCAAAACCAGTCCCCCGTCTGTCACAAATCAGGCTCTTTTTTGGCGCACGCTGTTACACAGTCTTTTCAGAGCCTCTAAATAAAAAGCGTGATTAACAGTCTGACTTTGTGGAATGAACTCCAAATGCACTACGAGTCGACATTTTCGTCCGTTCGGGGAATTGATGGACATTCAAGTGAGGTTTGTCACCAATCAACATTTCACCTTTTTTGAAATGAGAAAACCACTCGTACACTGGTTTTTTGCCATAGCGCTGTCCTTGTAAGCTGTGTTCAACATCACAACAGTTTCTGCAGCATTTTTCCTAAGCAGGAAACAGAATTTCACAGTTGCACACTGTTCTCTTAAATCGGTCATCAAGGTTCGAGCAAAACTGCTTTTATGAAAAAATTGATGGTGACCAGAGAGATGCCAGTGGGTGCACTAACGCAGAGCGAGTTGCTCGCCAGCGGGAAGAATGAGTACTCGTAAACCTCCACTCTGCCCGCTCAATTCCGGTTTTTTGGGGGTACTCCCTCGTATGTAAACACACAGTTTAACTCAGCAGTTCATAATTGGGCAAATGTCTTAAGCTCCCTTTTGGAACTATATGCGTACTATAGGGAGAAACCTAATCACTTAATGCTCTTAGTGACTTTTTATATAGACTGTTTTAGTAAGTGACGTTTTATCTTAGAGAAAAGAGTATGTCATCATCATAGTATAATAGTGATACGTTCATAATTTGCTATTTGTATGATATACAATCAAGGCTGTAAAAGCTTGAATTTGCCTTTTCCACATCCTTCATTTCAGATTCTTTGTAAGAGTCAAGAGAAATGGGGAGAACCAAATATCTGTGTGATTTTTGTTACTGCTATTTAGATCACTCCAGGGTGGGGAGTAGTCTCATATCATACCATTTCTGCCCCAATGAGAATTTTACTGGAAATTTTTTAGGGAAAATACTTGCTGAGAATTAATTTTAGAGATATCTCCAGAGCTGTCATAAAAATTTCGGGTATTTGGGATGAACAGGCTTTGTTTTATTGCCTCTTAAAAAGTAGTTATGTTGGTCAGCATGAACAATAAAACAACCATTATCATGATTCTTTGATAAGAGATAATATGAAATATTCCAGAAAGAATAAGACCAGATGCTAAATAATCATTTGTGTGAGCGTTCTATGAGCTCTGTGATCAGTGGAATTTGTACTCCTCCCCACCCCGAATAATCACATTCTTCCAAGAAAAGGCAATGAAAAGAGAATACACTTTCTTCTCAAACCTTAAAAGTTTTTAGTGCCCTTTAACATCTTTCCACGTGATAGACTGGGCTTTATGCACGCAGGTGGACTGGGTGGTTATGGATCAGGAGACACAGAAGATGAGAGGAGTGACAGAGGCTCTGAGTCATCTGACACTGACGACGAAGAATTACGGCACCGAATCCGGCAAAAACAGGAAGCATTTTGGAGAAAAGAAAAAGAACAGCAGCTGTTACATGATAAACAGATGGAAGGTATGTATTTTAGATTTAGTTTTTGACTAGTTTTGCTTGCATTTAATTTTATCTTTTTTACCCGTCTTAAAAACAGGATTAATTGAAACTCAATTATAAATAATACCTGATGTAATTGTAAACAAATTTTTCCCCTGTCCTTTGTGCAATTTTTAGCAAACTTAAAGCCAAGGTTAATTTTAGTGTTCAGGTATGACAGTTTATAAAGGTAGACATTTCTATTTTAGGAGCTAATACTTCTTGTGGCTATATGTCAAGAAGTGGGAATCCTTGTGGTGCAGTTAACTAAAAGGTTGGCTGTTTGGATGCACCAGTCATTCTTGCGGACAAAGATATGACAGTCTGCACTGATAGAGATTGACAGTCTGGAAAACAATGTGCAAAGTTGCACTCTATTCTTCAGGGTTACTATGGCGGTGGGTTTTATTAGTATGCAAGTACATTTATTATATTTCATTTCTTGTTAAAAGTTTTCCATAAAAGATTTGAAATTGAGGAAATATATTGTAAGACAATTAAGCCAATAAAGTTTTAGATGGTAATTTGTAACTGGAATTTTTAAGTACTATGAAAGGTAGAAAGATTGCTTTTTTGAAGTTTTTATTTAAAATACTTTATATGTATGTATTTCTCTAAAGTTTATATAGTAATGCTAGAAATAGAATGTTTTTACGTTTTGAAAAATTCTTACTTGAGCATATTGGCAAGGTAATTATTTTTGCTTCCTTATTTTTGGTTTATTGAGCTAGCAAGTAAAATAAGGATCAACTTTCAAGTTGCTTTATTGAGAAAAGAAGGGGGGGAACTTCTTGTTTTACATGCAGCTGTACATTTTGATACTCAGTTGGTTCCTTGCCTAAGACTAGTTACAAACTACATGCAGCTCTTGTGTACATGAAATACAGCCAGCTCAAATTGAGATGTGCCTTCAGTGTAAAACAAGCCGGATTTGAAAGACTTTCTATTAAAAACAAAACAAAAAAAAGAAATACTTTATTATACTTTTTACTGACATGTTAAAGTGCTAATATTTAGATACATTATGGTAATGCAATATTAAAAATTTGTTTTGCCCATGTTTACTTTTTTAATGTGGTTGCTAATTTTTTTAAATTATGTAGCTCACATTGTTTTTATTGAATATTTCTGTATTGTTATGGGCTCATATTTGAAATTTGGTGGTAAGCGGTTTTTTATTGTGCATTTTACTTAGTATTTTTGTCTTTGTCTGTTTCAGAAGAAAAGCTACAAACAGAAAGGGTTACAAAAGAGCTGAACGAATTTATTCATAAAGAGCAAAATAGTTTTCTACTAGAAGGAAGAGAAACAGACGGTGATGTGGTTAATGAAAAGAAAAGAATTCCAAGTGAAATGACATCAGCTTTAGAACCCAAAAAAGAGCATAAAGCGAAAGAGAAGCAAGGAAGGAGTCGGTCAGGAAGTTCTAGTAGCGGCAGCTCCAGTAGCAGTAGTCGAAGTAGCAGTTCCAGTAGCACTGTGTCCACTTCTTCCTACAGCTCGAGCTCCGGTAGTAGTCGGACTTCTTCTCGGTCTTCTTCTCCTAAAAGGAAAAAGAGACACAGTAGGAGTAGGTCTCTCACCATGAAAGCTAGGCGTAGTAGGAGTAGAAGTTACTCTCGCAGAATTAAAATAGAGAGCAATAGGGCTAGGGTAAAGCTTAGAGATAGGAGAAGATCTAATAGAAATAGTATTGAAAGAGAAAGACGAAGAAATCGGAGTCCTTCCCGAGAGAGGCGTAGAAGTAGAAGTCGCTCAAGGGACAGGCGAACCACTCGTTCCAGTCGAAGTAGGAGTCGAGATAGGCGTAAAATCGATGACCAACGTGGAAATCTTAGTGGGAGCAGTCATAAGCATAAAGGTGAGGCTAAAGAACAAGAGAGGAAAAAAGAGAGGAGTCGAAGTATAGATAAAGATAGGAAAAAGAAAGACAAAGAAAGGGAACGGGAACAGGATAAAAGAAAAGAAAAACAAAAAAGGGAAGAAAAAGAGTTTAAGTTTAGTGGTCAGGATGATAGATTAAAAAGGAAACGAGAAAGTGAGAGAACATTCTCTAGGAGTGGTTCAATATCTGTCAAAATCATAAGGCATGATTCTAGACAGGATAGTAAGAAAAGTACTACCAAGGAGAGTAAAAAACATTCAGGCTCTGAGTCTAGTGGAAGGAGCAGTTCTGAATCTCCAGGAAGTAGCAAAGAAAAGAAGGCTAAGAAGCCTAAACATAGCCGATCGCGATCCATGGAGAGATCTCAAAGGTCTGGTAAGAAGGCAAGCCGCAAACACAAGTCTAAGTCCCGATCAAGGTAGTATACTTTTTAAAGTATTTTGTCTGATTTTTAAAAAATTTGACTGAATTTATTCAGAGTTGAAAGTGTCCTTTCTCTCTCTCTCTTTAATAACTCAGTTTGGTACTTAATAAAATGATCGTAGCCTAAGTAATTTTAGAAATCCTATATATTATTTTAAATTGCGGATTCTTATATTTAAAATGTATTTTTATTTTTAAATTTTGTCTTTTCCCTCTTTTTTTTTTTTTTTTTCAGATCAACAACCCCTCCTCGTCGTAAACGCTGAGGAATGATGTGGCAAGACTGCCATGATGTTGTTTAAAAAATTCCATGAGTTTTAAGGGCTTGTCTCATTATAGAGGCACATTGTGGCTATGTAGGTGAAACCAGATCTTTTTTTTTTTCTTTACCCGTCTGTAAATAGGTGTACTTTTTCCAAATGCTGCTCTACGTTACTTTGTATTACTTTTTTTTTTTTCCCAAAATAGTGCATAAGAATATAAACATGCCATTCTCTTTCAGCTGTAATGTTTTTAAAATTCTTGAATGTACTGTGATGTCAATAAAGCTCTTTAGTTCATTTTTGTTAACTTCTTGCACCTGAATTTTATGATTTTTAATCTAAGGAACGTACTTTTATAAAAAGGGCAGCTGGAATTTTGTATAACACGTTTTAAAGGTACTTCGTTCCGTCCCCCAGAGAAAATGGTTTTAGCTTTGAGTTTGTCCAAGTCTGTAAATTGTACCAATGGACTTTTGTCAAATTCCATCTTTAAGGGTGTGAAAGAAAGTAGACCAGAAATAGAGCTATATTTTCTTTCCACTTGAAGCATTTGACAGCTTCCTAAATTTTTCTTCCTATTTTAGGGATTTTCAAGTAATGTGTTCTCTGGTATATAAAGTATGGATCACTCCTGTAAAGTGAAATTGCTGAAACCAATCAAGCCATTGCACCAGTAGAATTATTTGTAAAGGACGAGTGTGTAATAGTCAAGTCTGGAACTGTTCTGCAGTCACCCACTCCTGTTTTAGAAGCGTATTTTAAATACTTTGGGGTTTATTATAGAACTAAGACAAGTCAGTATATATTTATATTTAATAAAGTGAACTATGACGTCAACTCAAGAAATGCTGTATTACGCAGCGATGTGTCAATTTCACAACATTAAAACGGTCTGATTTTGTCACTTTAAAATTATGATCAGTGAGTGCTCTAGCAATTTAAGCCAGTCATAACTTATTAAAATGGGGCTTTAGAGGCATTTTAACTTAAGTGCTCGACTGCTTTCATGGTCTGTTTTTCTAAGATTACTTACTTATGTGGCAATAGATAAATTTCTGAAAACAAATGCAATTAAATCTTTAAAAAAAAAAAAGCAGGTGCACGACACAAGTTTTAAGTATGCCTTTGTACCAGCAATAGTCCATTTTAAAATAATGCCATATTTTTGCCAAGATCAGTTTTTCCTCAAAGTAAAGATAGAAATAGATTTGTATAGTATGCTCTTATACCATCTCTATAGGTTCTGTACTAATTTTGAGCAATTATGCATTTATCTAAAAAATAAATCAACTGTGAATAAATGCATGTTTACCAAAAAGGCTGTTTTACAGTACATTTAGTTCTGATATTTATAAAGTTGTCATTTCATAGGATAACTTTAAAATAGTGTAGAATTCTATATAGGTATCAGTGACATCTGGAGACAAAATGAAGGAAAATGTGCAATATTTTTATGTAGGAGAGCTAACATGGTATATCTAATTGCAGAATTAATTATCTGATTAATTTGTAATAAGTTGTATAACATTTCATATCAAATGTTTTTTAGATTAATCTTCCAGTGAAAAACTATTTTCAAAATAAAATTCTACAGAAAAAAATCTGGCTATGATATGCACATTTTTGGCAAGAGAGTAACTAGAACAAAAAGTATTTGCTATTTGACAGTTTGTTTGCTATGCCAGTGTTTGCAAGCTTTTTATCAGTTTCTATCTGGAGACTTCAAAAAAAAACCCAGAAAAACAACCAAACCAACACAGTAATGATGTATGTGATTATTAGCAAATGTAACAGTTATACAATTAAATATTTAGGATTTTCTCAGAGTTTTATGGATAATTTAGACTTTATTTCCTTGTCATGTAATGTAGTATGTTTTCCTCGAGTGGTAAGAATTTATAAAACAGGGCTTCCATGATTTTAGGATGTGAATGATAAAACTTACACATAAGTTAATTCTATGTACAATTTGATGATGAAATGGTTTTTGCAGCCAAAGAGTAGATGACAGCTTTTGAGGCAATTATTGGTCTGGATTGGCTAATAAAAACTGTCTTTTAAGAGGCTCTCCTTTCAAACTATTCTAGTGTGTTCATAATACTTGTTTTTGTGGCATGAGGGCAATCCACACCATAGGAGAATAAAATGTAATTTGGAAGAAATAATTATAAGACTTACTTCAAGCCCCCAAATATAAATAAAGCTTAGTGTGGAATCACTAGTGTATGTTTTCTGCCACTATAAAATGTCTTAAAAGTCTCTTTCTAATGGTGTGATACATGATCCTACAAATAGGAAAAAATGTAATGGGTAGGTACATTTTTTAATTATTCGGGGATTTTTGCATCAATGATTTTATGAATCCCCAAGTTCCTACTGTATAACCACTGATAGAAAGAAGCCTTTATTTTAAACTGAGTTTTTCTTATATTAAGATATTGTTCAGCTTTCTAAAATGTACTAATCATAGCTTAATGGAAACAACATTTGATTCATTAGTTTGACCTGGCTCTCTGCTACTTGGTATGTTTTGAAATCACTGGAGTTACAATTTTTTCAACTATATAAGGGAAGACTAAACTTATCTAAGTCTTGGGCAGTTATAACCGTTAAGTTCTTCACTATTAAATAGAAATAGATTTTAATATCACAACTCTAAATGAGAAAATTGGCATTTTACTTGCTCTTGAGATAGCACACACCTATGTTTCACTTTTATGGCACAGAAATTTATCAGGTATCAATTGTAGAGCTTTCTAGTAATCACCCATTGGTTAATCCTTGGTCTGATTGAAATAGCTTAACATAGAATTATCCTTAAAATGTCTATGTAAAACTTTTTTATTAAATATTGAGATTTGCTAACTGATGAATAGTTATTGTAGTATATGCATTTCAGAGGGATCAAGCTTTTTAGATGTGTCCTACTGCCATCTAGTGGATTCCAAATCATAGGGTTTCAAAGACAGTCATTCTTAGTGGGAGCAGACAGCCATAGCAGCTTTTAAGTTTAAACCACTGACCTTACCGTTTGTAGCCTACCATTTATGAAAACAAAAATTTATATGTAGGTTTTGGAGTTATATAACAAAGTAATTACGAAGTATATATGTTTATGGAAAAGAGCATAGCAATAGGGAAATCGCTCCAGCAGTAGCCATAAACTGCATAGCACTAATATTTTTAACATAGTCATAATTAAGGACCAGTAGGAAAGAAAACCTTATGTCTGATGATTGCACAGGAAAATGTGAGCTAGTTTTTCATATATGGGCCAACTTATTTATGAGGATTCAAGAGGCCTTTGCCTTTCACTATTAACCCCTTTGTGTCCTGAGGGGTATCTGTCACCACCATTTTCTGCCTTTTAGGTTTCTTGGGAAGTTGCTATCTCAGTTGTAGTTTGTACTCCCACCTGGCAAGGATAACTGCCTGGAGTCTGAAGAAATGGGTCTCACTCAACCAATCCTACCACCAGAGTTTACTGGAGACGTGTCCCATGTTTTTTACCAAAATCCATATTAACTCAAAAATTTTACCTTGATTAAATACACACATTTTGCATACCTTCCATTACTGAAAACAGCAAAAATTTCAAAGCAACAGTAATTTGGTCTTGAAAGTGTTATGGCAAATCATTTTACTTTTGTTTTTATTGAGTTGAAAGTATAGTGACAGGGCTTTGAAGTCCAGTGAGATGGGAGAAAGTGAGTGAATGGCACGTGCAAATGATTCATAGACTCACTTGCATTTTGATTTTCCTTAGATCTGCCACTCCAAAAAATAATACCATGCTAAATTGTGCTGAGCTGTCTGCCCTCGATTGAGATATGGCAGGTAACCGAGGAGAGGGGAACCCTGAGGGTCCTGTTGGTTGCTGTGGAGTAAGCTCTGACCTGCAACCACCTTAAGTCACAGTGAAATGTTACCTGGCGTTTCGCCATCTTTATGATTAACCTTATTCATTCTTTGGGCCATTGTCTGCTATTGAAAAAGTTTACAGCACTTTGGAGGTCAGAACTTTAGCTAAGGAACCATAATAGGCCAACTATTGTGTGCTGTCACTAACTCAGTGTTCCTAAAGGACAGGGTAGAACTGCCCACGGTGTTTACAGAGCAGTAAATACAAGTCGACTCTGCCACATCTTTCTCTCCGAGCAGCTCGTGCGTTGAAACCACCGACATTCGGTTAGCAGCTGAGCGCTTTACCATAGCACTACTGGGGCTGAGCAGTGCATTAAACAACTTCCAAGAAACCTTAGCAGGTCTCAAAAACTGTCCCTGAGGCAATGCCGACTTAAAGGGACCCTACAGTAGAGCCCCCTCCCCCCGTGAGCTACCGCAACAGAGATCAAAACTAAACTCCCTGTCATCGAGTCCATCCGAACACACTGACCATATATGACAGGGTAGAACTGCCCCGGTGAGTTTCCGGGACTGCTTACAGGCGTGGGAGTAGAAAGCTTTTTTTGAGTGTGGCTGATGATTTCAAACCGCTGACCTTGTGCATGGAGGTTTGACGCTGGGCCTCCTACCTTAACAATTGTGTGGAATAATTTCAAAGTCAGACCGGTGGTCCTGATAACAGTCCCTTGAAAGGCAAACGGACACTTGGAGAAGAACCGCTTCCATACCTTTGTGATGCTAAGAGTGAAGCCTTGTCTTCTCCAGAAGTGCAAACCCGCGGCCATGGAGGCTCTTCCAACCCTGTAGCACAGCAGCACCGTCCACAAGGTTCCCAAGACTATCCATTTTAATAGAAGCAACTGCCGTGTGGCTGAGAGACTGTCAGCAGCCCTGGGTCACCTCTGCAGAGCCTCGTGGTGGCGGGGGGCTGTCAAAGCAGCGGGTGCACAGCGGGGAAAGTCAACTACGCTGGAGCACCGCCCCCCTCCCGGGGCAGCTCGACGCTGCCTGCTGGGGTCGCTGAGTAGGCATCGATCCTGGGTAGGGATCATTGAGTGACACGGGATTAAAAGCTAGCTCATGATGACAGGTTTATGGCGGTCACAGTCACTGCCATCGGGAGAGCGAGCCTCTGAGACGAACTCTACCGGGAGTAGAGCACAGGCCCTGTGCGCACCGGGCCTCCGGGGGTGGCCGCAGATTGAGGGGACAATCAGGGCCCCGTCTGAGCAGTCGACGCCCCGACGGGCCCGCTAGCGGATGCGAAGAGTAGCCACGACCCGACCGGAAAGCTCCCGGCGCCGGGCGGGCCCCGGAAGCTCGCGGCTCGACTGCGACCGGAAGCGGCGCCCCATCGGCCGCCATGTGGGCTCGCGGCGGCCTGAGCTGGTCCCGCGCGCCCCTGCTCGGGGCTCGGCGCCCCGCGGCCGGCCGTGCCCGCCCCGCCTCGGCAGGTGAGTGAGAGGCCCCTCCGAGCGCCGGCCGGGCCGCCAGGGGCCGCGAGCACCGTGGGCTGTGCGGCCGGCGCCCCCGAGCGGAACATCCCCCTGCTCACCGAGGGGGGCGGGCTCGCGGCCGCGGCCCCCCTGGTCACTGTCCGCGGGTCCCGCCCTGCACCGGGCCACCTGGACCCTAGTGGGGTTGGCCTTGCTGCCCAGGGGCCGCCGCTTTCGAATGCCTGCCAGCTTCTCGAGCTCGCGCCCCTGTGTGTGCAGGCTGCGAGGCCCCTCAGCTGCCGTTCCGGGGTGACCTTGTTTCCGAAGGCATGTAAGGCACGGCTACGCCGAGCCCGGGCTGCTCACCGAACGGTGGGTGACTGGGACCGGGGGTTGGACCATGCGCCGTCCCTGAAGAGTCACAGCTTGGGAAACTCAGTGGGGCACGTTCACATCTTCCTGTAGGGCGGTCAGAATCGACGTGACGCCTGTGGATTGGTTTGTTGTTGTTTCTGTATCAGGAACTGTGTACCTACTGCCCTTCAGTCGATCTCCACTCACCGCGGCCCCAAGTAGGCCGTCAGTCTTTGAGTAGCGGGCGTCAACTTTCACCCCCGCCAGGGCTGTGGGTTTTGATCCTCACTTGCTTTTCCAAGCCCACGGCGCCGCCAGGGACCCCCAGGAAGTACCGAGCTCCCATTCATTTGGGTGTCTGAGACTGGAACTTTCAGTCCTTCTGTGCAGCTGCAAGTGGTTTCGAACTGCCGTCCAGGCGGATCACAGCCCAATGTTACACCGCCAGGGCTACGAATAATATTTTTTAAATGAATGATAACTCAGTATTTTAAAAGAAAAATATACACTCCGCCTATATTCACTCTCTCCCCTTAAATCTGGAAATAGTATTAGGTTAGTTTTTTTTATTAATCATTTTTACAAGTATTAGATTAATTTACAATTTCTGAGTATAAAAGCAGTTGTTTACTGGGAAAAGACCAGGAAAAGAGTATAAAGGTGATAAAGTGATAGTCACCCAGCACACTACAGAAAATCGTCATTAAAATTTTGGTGTGTTAGTGTCTGGATATACTAAGGAGCTTCAAAAATTTCGTGGCAAAAGTACCTTTATCCCTTAATTCTATTTTTTCACAAACTTTTTGAAGCCTCTCCTGGCATCATCTTTATCTCTGAGTTGATTATGTAATAATATTTAAAGTAGGTTTTTAAAAGGTATAGGTAAAGTTGGTGAAAGAGAGAATCACATGAGCGAAAACCCAGGAGAACAAACATATCAATACATTTTTGAGACCACTGAAATGGTTTTGAACCAGACTGTGAAGGGCTCATTAAAAGACCAAACAAAAAACGTAAAGCACACAGGAGAAAAATGTGCAGAGATTATGAAAAGATAAGACATGAAATACAAAGGTTCATTAAGCTTAAAGGATACCTAACCTCATCCAAGATAAAATCAAATTTGCACTGAGATCCCCTTGTCATTTACTTGATTAGCCAAGACTAAAATGTGTGGTTACTCATATGTTGTAATACTGTGGGGAAATAGCACTAGATATTCTCAGTCATTGCCTGAGGGGCTTCAGAAAACATCTATGAGTGGCGATTAAGAACTTACAAATGTACACAACAGTTCTCAGGGTTTTACCAACAAGCACACCAAGCACCTATGAAGTTACCTGTGTAATTCAATGGCAGGTTTTTAGTAATAACAAGAAATTAGAAATAATATCCATGTTTGTCATGGGAGAACTCTTTAAATTACAGTTTACCATGTAGCCATTAGAAAGAAAGAAGAAAAATTGAATGTTTTTTTTAAATCGTTTTATTAGGGGCTCATATAACTCATCACAATCCATACATACATCAGTTGTGTAAAGCACATTTGGACATTCGCTGCCCTCGTCATTCTCAAAACAGTTCCTCTCCACTTAAGCCCCCAGCATTAGGTTCTCATTTTTCCCTCCCTCCCTGCTCCCCCCTCCCTCATGAGCCCT